GAAATGGGCGGATGAATGTTTAGAACAGAGTTCCATCTTCGATGACCAAGAGAGAGACTTACAAGCCAGAGTTCAAGGACGTGGAGAGTTTTGTTCATCACCAAATGAAAACATGATGACTGATTCAATAGATGTTTCTGAAAAAACAGGCATTCAAGGGAATGATGCTACCTCGGCTACCATGGGGTTGTGCCCCACTTCACTAAGTTGTGGCAAAAGGCAGGCAAAGTTTGGCACAACCAACCAAGAATGCAGATGTTCATTGCTTGAAACCACTGAGTCTCTGGAGGTGGATGACTACAGCGTGTCCATTTTGGGGAAAGTTGAGCAAACAAAAGCTAGCCCAGAAGAACCCATTTGCGACAGAGAAGACTGTTCTAGAGTAGTAGGTGTGAGAAACTCACCCTTTGTCCCAGCAGAATGTCAGACTGACTCTTTGGCAGAAGAATCTGATTCTTTGGTTGATGGAGATACAAGACAAGCTCCAGATGATCGTGAAGAAGTAACCCGGATAGAGGCAAAAGGGTGCCTGAGGAATCTTGAAGACCCTCTGCCTGATGAAGGGACCCAGTTGCCCACCAGTTCTTCAGATATGGACTGGGAAGATGAATCTCTGGTGGTGGGCAGTGGCCAAGATCCTTGTGCAGATTGGTATCCCAAAAGTAAGCTTGAGAGTTTACATCACCCAAGATTCAAGGCCTCCCCAAGCGTTACTGAGTCTGAGTTCATTTGTGGTTCAGGTCCTGGGAACGAGACTTGTAAAGATGGCGATTGGGTATCCTTGGAAAATAGCCAGAAGGTGTCAGATGTTAAGTCTGAGGCCATGAAATATGACTTTCCTTTTGGTTTTAAAAAAGAGGATTGGTCAGCATTGCTATCCCTTGACATGGACCATAGGCCCATGCCCTTCAAGGATTACATCAATTTCTCTGTCACCAAGAAGCACAAAGAGAAAACCAGGACTTTCCACTCGTTCTCCAAACAACACAACCCTTTCACCAGAGATTTGGGATTAATCAACTGGAGCAGGAGCTGGGGATTCCTGAGTGACCCAGTTCAAAACATTTTAGACATGGAATGCCTGCGGTTCCATTGCAGGGTCAAGGAGATCCTGAAGAAATCACAACGTTCTACCTCCCGTGTTCTTCCCACCAAGAAGATCCTGCCTCAGCTGATAGCAGAAGCGTTACCGCTGAGAAAGGTCTCTGAACTGTCAGCTGCCGGTTCCCCCCTTAGGAGCAGAAGTCCACTTCTGGTCACCATTGCCAATGCAGATCCGAGGACCAGTGGCAGATGTGATGAATTCTTCAACCCCCTTCCTGCCGTCCAGGAGCCATTTTGCTCAGCCGCTGCTCTGAAGTGTCAAGAGGGGCTGGGGCCGAGGCATCCTTTCCCTCCTTCCCATCTCCAGAAACTAACCTATAATAAGCTAAACAGTTTCCCCGGGGATCTCTCGGTCGTCGTCGATGAGTTTGCCAAGCTCAGCAGAGCAATGGCGTTCGAGGGCGGGCGGGCAGGCAACCATGAGGGAGACCCCACTGCTACCTCAGAAGATGCAGGCGAGAAGAGGGGACCTGCTGTGCCTCCGAGAGCCATCGGCTACGATTATCTTTTCACTGAGCTGCACAACACACTACATGTCCGGCTGAGGAATGTGGCTCAGGAAGCGTGCAGGAAGCCCTACTTGTTCTACTTGATGGAAACAGAGGACGATCCTTTCTTTGGGAGAGTGAAGGTAAGACTTGGTTGGTGAAGGGGGTCTTGGGTCCCCATGAGGAAATGAGCTGCTGCAGGAGGTTTGTGCTTGGTCGGTTGGATGCAAACGTTGCTCTGGGTAGCTGTGAACCAGTGTTTCTCAACCTGGGCAACTTGAAGATGGGTGGACTTCAACTCCCAGAATT